GCCAAGGCCTTCCCTCCCTGGTGTGCTCTTGGTCATCATGTTTCAGCACAGCGGAAGTGACCAGAGCTAAGGCAGACTCTCAGGCTGGCTACACTCTGTAGCTGCCCACAGTCCCGTGTTTTTTTAACATCCTGGGCTCTCCATCCTCCCCTAGGCTTTACCCTCAAAGCTGTCCGCAGCCCCACTTTGGGGCTTCCTGCTGAGTACTGGATTGCTTCTCCTTGCCTGGCCTAGTGCTTTCTGCTGGAATGCTGGCGCAAGCCTCCATGGTGCCACCACTGTTGCACTTTGTGTGCCTTCCAAACCAGCACCACAGAGACAGGACTGAGTTCTCCAGCTCGAGAAGTCTCTGGGTGACCTCGCACCCTGCTGCAGCAGCCTCTAGGGGCCCATGTGGCTGACCCTGCAGACACGTCCCCGCTCGCGCAGGGAGCCCGTGTGCTGCTGTCTGTCTACGTGCAGGCAGCTTCCTGTGCTGCTGCTGCTGCTCCTGTCTCTTTCCTTCACTGTCTCCCTTCACTGCTAGAGTGCTCCATTTCCTGTCATACTGCTTTTGGAGTCCTGCACTTTTGCTTCTGACTATAAAGCTGCGCAAAGCAATGGTGCTGGTCATGCCTGGGCACAGCTGTCACTGCTCATGTTTCTGTCCCTGCCAAGCTGAGACTACAGCGCTCTGGGGCTTACCTGTCTTGTGCCTGCAAACTCATCTGTCTTCTTCCAGGAACCATTTTCTAGTATTGAAGCTCCTGTCCAGGTTATCACAGCAACACCACACTTCCAGTACCAATTTTTTGTATTAGCTGTGACCAAAATTCCTAAAAGAAATGAAGGAAGGGTCCATAAATTTTTAGTCCCTCATCACCAAGGCCATGCCTAGTCACTTACCTGCACTTGCCAGGTCTCCTCCTAAAAGCTCTGAACTCTGGAAAGTGGCATCACTTGCTGGGCATCAAGTGTTCAAACCATGGCAGGACTCAGGTTCTTGAGTCATTGGTGTGCCTCATTGCTGTGAAGCCTTCCGTGCTGCCTTCGCCCACCGTCCTGTCCACTGGCTGGCTGGCTTCCTTTTGTTGCCTTTGTGCTTCTGGGAGCTCAACTCTGGCTTTGCTCAGTAAAATGGGATCTTGTAAGGGTCAGGGCCACTCATCAGCAACTCTTCTGTGCCTGGGACAGTGCTGGATGCTGCTGAGGGCAACTCATGACCTTTGAACCCATGTTGAACACTCAGCAAGAGTTCAGTGTTTATCCTTTTCACTGCCCACAGCCGCTCCCTAGGGATATAGATTACTGTTACACTTTTTTCTTCCATTTTTCTGTGTGTGGGTGTGTGTGGGTGTGTGGTGTGTGCATGTGTGGGTGTGTGTGCACATATATGTGGAGGCCCAAGATTGATGTCCAGAATCACCCCTGTTAGTTCTTCCACCCTACTCAATGAAGCAGGGTCTCAGTCAACCAAGAGTGCCCTGGTGTGGCTAATCTCACTAGACAGCTGTATAAGGAACTTTGATTCTCCTGCTTCAATTCAGAGGCCTACTGCCTCCTTCTGCTGACCTAGGCCTAGTCCTGGACGCTTCCAGCCTCCCTACAATCTAACCTAGGCCTAGAATGTTTTCAGCGTCTGGGACTCACTGCTGAGTAAGCTCACCCTGTCTTGTTCTTTCTAAGCTCTGGGCTGGCTGGTTCAACTAAGCTGTTCTGGCTCAAACTCCTCTCCCAGCTGACTGATTCAATCTGGCTTCTCTCTCGGCCCCTGAAGTGCTCTGCTTTGCCTCAAACTAACTCCAACAATCTTTTCTGATCCTCTGCCTCCTTCTCATTCTCTGTCTCACTCAATCTTGACCTGATTTCTCTCTACAACCCGTCTCTATTACTGTCCTGATAAAACTGCCTTCTCTCCCTCTGCATTGCCCCTTAAGTAGCTTTTCTTTCTTCTCTCTTCTCATGAGAGTTGGGCATGTCCTATTCTGTCACATCTCTGATTTGTCACCTTTTCTGCCACTCAATTAAACATCACTTTTAAACATGGTTTGCTTCCTTTTACAAACTAATTTCACCTCTGTTGTTTGGGATTAAAGGTGTGTAACCACCAGGCCTGGACCTAACCTTTTCTTTACCTGAAACTTCCTCTATACCAGGCTGTCCTTGAACTCAGATCTGCTTGTCTCTGTCTCCTGGATTAAAGGCGTGTTTGTATTCCAGCTGGATCACGTAGACCTAGAAGGTCTCTGGGTGTGATCTCCGGCCAGAGCAGCTGTGTTCTGGATTAACATTCCTCTACAGACAGCTGTTGTTAGGTGTTGTTTTCATCTTCCAAAGATACATGCAGGAGCTGTCGTGCCCACTGGACACTTGGGTGGGGCCTGGGGTGTAAACTCTAGTCTTCAGCCTTTCAGACCCACAGACTTTAACACCATCTCGAACAGTCCACACTCGTTTAGTGGGCTGTTTGTTGTTATTGCTTCGTTTGTTGTGAGAAGGGTTGTTTCCGGCTGACCTCAGCTTGTGATCTTAGTCTTGCCTCAGCCTCAGTGCTGGGATTATAGGTGTGCCCACCGTGCCTGCTTAGCAGCCCATTTTCATCCTTTTCTTTTGGCTTTTGTATGGAAGAAAGTAGAATCATTCAAGGGCAAAATAGAGAAGAGAAACAAATCTGGACTAGAAATATAGTCCTCAGTGCCCACAGAAGGTTGGTTCTAGGACACCCTGTATCCGACTAAAGAACACCGAAGTCCCTTGTACATCTATGGCGATAGTGTTGGTATGTGACTGTCTATGTATTAGCGCTACCTGCCAACTTGGCACATTCTAGAGGCACCTGAAGAATCTCGGGAGTGATTGTCTCTACGGGGTTGGCTTCAGGGACATTGCTGGGAGGCGTGGTCTTGGTTAGGAGTTTATGTAGGGGCCCAGTCCACTGTGGGCGGCACCTTCCCGGGCAGGTGACCTGAGGCTGGATAGTAAGATAAGTGCCCATGAGCCAGAGAGTGCGCCTAGCATGTTCCTCTCTGGCATTCTGCCGTCAAGTTTCTGTTTGAGTTCCGGCCCCAGTGTCCCTCAGTGACGGACTGTGACCTCAAAGTGTCAGCCAGATGAATCCTGTTCTCTGCTAGGTTACTTTGGTCAGTGTTTCATCATAGCAACACTGTGGAGCTAGAACGGTCCTACACAGACATCCCCATGTGTATATATGGAATCTGTGGATTACTTCCGTACCAACACTGTGTGTGTGGTGGGAGCTACGCTGTGGGGGTGCTCTGTGCTGACCCCTCTTCCCCATGAGAAGCTGCCTGCTGGGTTACCCGTGTTCCCCGGCTTATAAGTGGTTCTGCCTGGAGAAATGACGTGAGCACTAGCCAGATGGGGTCTGCCTGTGCTGCTCTCCTTAGTGCCCCTGGAAGCAGGCAGTAGACAGGCTGTCCATCTCCCAGGAAATGACCCTTGTGCGAAGGTGTGACACCAAGGCAACTCACAGAAGACAGTCTGAGGGGGTAAGTCCTGACCGTCAGAGCTCACAGCTCCTTGTAATTTCAGTTCCAGGGGAGCCAGCACCCTCTTCAGATCTTCGTGGCACTGCATGTATGTGCCATACACACCCACAGGTAAACCCTTACACACATGCCCACAGATCTTTCTAAAGTTGCCCAGGGAGAGTTTCAGTTAAATGTCAGTTGCACGCTTACAGACCTTACTCAGGCTGACTAGAACTGTTTTCAGGTTCTCTCAGTGGCTAACCAGTAGAGGCCCACAGTCAGGGCAGCAGTGGGTCAGGCCGTTCACGAGTCTGAGAGCGGAGACGTGCCCTGCATGTGTGCCTTGGTTTCAGTGGCTTTTTCTGCTGCTGTCTGCTTTTCGTCAGCACACCCCCAGCCGAGTGTGCCACACACCCGAAAAGCCACACTGTGGGCTGGGTGGTTCCCACTTGTTGCCTTCCTTTTCCCCTAAGGAGACTAAGGAGATGATACCTGATAACAAACTTTCATTTTCCAGCTTGGAACTTCCATTGTTTTGGGTATTTTAGGCTTCCATGAAAACAACAGTTGCCTGTTAGCCCGTGTGATGACATGTAGGCCCCGTGTGCCTCAGTCTTCCTCTGAGCCCGTGCGTGTTTATAATACCACACGTTTCATTTCTGGACTGAATTAATTTGTGATGTCCTTCTTAAATCCCTTTTTTCCGATCTGAGAGAAACAAGCACCACTTTTTCCTAACCTCGGGGTTTGTTTAAGGACGAGAGCACAGGTTGTTTACTGTTGTAGTTCCTGCAGCTGCGCACTGCGCAGGATCTGTTAGGATGGAAGCTTGTCCACGCTGGGCAGGACTGGGACACTTAGTGACAAGAAACTTACTCCTCCTTTTAAAAATTTTGAATTTTTAAAAAACCTTTAATGTGTGTGTTGGAGGCCCATGGGTGCAGTGCTCGTGGAAGCCAGAGGAGGGCAGCAGAGCCTCTGGAGCCACCCACCCTGTGGGCCCTGGGAACCCAGCTCAGGCCTCCTGTGCCTCCAGCAGCTGAGTGCCTGCACCCCTCTCCCGTGCTGCACTGTTCCGGCCCTTAATGCGTGGCCCAGGCTCTGCCAAGGCATGTGGTACAGAACCAGCTTGGGCTTTTGTTTGTTTGCATGGTAACTGTATTCTGCCTGTGTCTGAGTGCAGCTTTCTTATCTGGAACTCTCAAGAGTTATGTGACCCATTTACCACCCAGAAAACAACTGAGGTGATGCTGACCTCAGGCAAATCCTTTCCAGCTTCATAGTATCTTTAGTGCTGGGTGCGCTACAGCTGGCGAAAAGCAGTCCTGTCCCTTGGCTGAGTAGCCTGGGCACGCTGCTTTGCCACTTCTCCCCTAACCGATAGGGCTGAAGCCCGCTCTGCTGAGGTGGTGCAGTCTGCTCTGGGTCGTTTTACCTTAAGAATAAAAAGCTTGTTAGCTGTCTTTCTTCTTCCTGATGTTCCTGGTTTTCTAGGTGCCGAGGTATTTAAATGTTGTCTTTGGTTTGTAGACATATGGAGCCTGGGTGTGATCCTTTTCATGCTGGTGTGTGGGCAGCCGCCCTTCCAAGAGGCCAACGACAGCGAGACGCTGACCATGATCATGGACTGCAAGTACACCGTGCCGCCCCGAGTGTCTGCCGGGTGCAGGGAGTAAGTAAAGCGCATGCGCAGAGAGAGGCCCCTGAACCGAAGTCTCGGCAGCACGCCAAGAACACGCAACATGGCCTCACCATGCCAGGATCTGAGTCCGTTTAGTTCATGAGACTGATGTTTCTGCTGCTGCTCTTTGATCAGAAACTCAACAGGAGAATACCAAACATACCAGTAGCTGAGGTTTTCCCCCTTAGCTCCTGGAGTAACGACTCATTACATATTATAAAAACACCTCCACCATATAGCCAGGCTCTTCTCTGACTAGCTCATAACTTAGCTAAGCGACATTCTGCCCTGTGCCTGGCTGCCTGTTTCATGCACCATGCATCCATCTTCCTCACATCTTGCTGGCCGATTCTCTCAAGCCTGGCTCTCTCCCAGAATCCTTCTGCCTGCTGGGTGTTCCACCCATTTCCTGCTTCAGCCATACAGAGGCCATAGGTTTTTAATTGACAGGTGGTGTATCCATACAATACAGAAGAGATTCCTTCTATATTACCCATGTTTTCAAGAAATCCATTTTGCCTTTTCAGCCTCCAGAAGTAGTGGTTAAGACCTTCCTGTGTGTGACACATGGTCTTGCTGGGGCTCTTGGCAGTTTGTGCCATCTTTAAATGAACAGCTGAGATTGTCGTCACCACTGAAATGTTCTCTTCTGCATCAACAAGTTTGCGTTTCTCCTGCCAGGCTGTGAGATGGATATGGTGCATGGAGGGTGTTCTTTCAGGGCGGCCCCAGTGTGGCCGTGCACCTCTCCAGACCAAGTGCTGGCTCTTCTGCTCACTGCTTCTGTGAGGGTGGATGAGTGTGCCTGACAGGGTTACTGGGACAGTTGTATGAAGAGCTAGTGTGAAGTCTAGGCTGGAGCACAGAAGAGGCTCTCAGCGTGTGGTGGTGGTGGTTTTACGCTTAGCACACAGGAGGCTGTGTGTGTTGGTATTGGTGACTGTAGGCTATGTGGTAGTTGTGATGGTGATTTTGGCTTGGGAAGCTCTGTCTCCTGTACTGGGTGTTGATTTTAGGCTGGATCACATTTAAGTCTGGGAGGGAGGGCAAGAGGGAGGGAGAGAGGGAGAGAGAGAGAGAGAGAGAGAGAGAGAGAGAAAGAGAGTGTATGTGTGTGCGTGTGTGCAGGATGGTGATTTTAGGTCCTTGCTCTTACTGCTCCCCTCAGGAAGCAGGTGTACACCAAGTGCAAGTTAGATACTCGTTTCTCAAGATTCTCTTCTCTGCTCCCAGTTAGAACAAACCAATCCCACCAACTCCCTTTATGTCAGCTGTGATCCTGAGGGTTATAGAATAACATGGACTCTCCATTCCTAAGAGCTGAGAGTTGTCCTCCATGTACCCCTCCTAAAGGGATTGTTAATACCTAAGGACCATTCAGATGAGGAAGAAAACAACAAAACCCACCAACGTTTTCTGACGTGTTTTTCTGAGTGGTGTGTTTTAAGGAACTTGTCCATGTGTCCAGTGTATTGCCTGAGTGTGTGCTGCCGTGGCAGTCTGGGGCTGCCTCCTTTGTGCTGCTTCTGCTCTTATCAGCCATCCACAGCCATGGCCTCCAATGGCCCTCTCTGAGCACTGGCTCCCGACCTGTTAGCCACTGCTGTGCTTTGTTCCTGCGGCTGCCATTTCTTCTGCGGACCCAGCTGCTTGTTGCTCAGCTCGCAGAGTCCCCTCATTGAATGCTGCATTTGATCAGTAGTCTTGGTTACACAAATTGAAGTTTTCCCTAGCCTTGTTGTCTTATTTACAAGGTGGTTTTATTTCTAATTAGCTCTTGTTTTGATTTCTTGACAGTCAGATGGTATAGTCTCTTGTTCCATGTTTTCACGGTTTGAGCCTGTCATGGGGACAATTGTACAGTCTAGTTCTTGAAAGTGCATATTTTCAAGTTGGGGTCAGAGGTCTGTACACATCTTTAGGGTCGAGTGCAAAACTGTTCAGAATTGCTTGCATTTAGAGCTTTCTTCACTGCTTCTGTTAACCTGTTACCTACTGAGATAGTCTTCCACTGGGACGGCAGACTTATTCCTTCAAGTTTGTCAGGTTTCGCTTTGAGAGTTTTGAGAGAAAGTTATTAGATGCAGGTGAGTTGAAAACTGCTCTGTGTTCCTGATGAATTGAATTAGCCCTTTGTATCAGTTTACCTCAGATACTTCTGGTTAGTTCTGTGTTGTTGAGAGAGCCACCTGCTGGCCTTGGGTCAGCATCTGTGTGTGACACTCCCTCACCCTTTTGAACAGTCTGCACCCAGGCCTTGCCTTGACTCTCATGTCTTTTCAGCTGAGGGGCTTGTTCCGTCTGCATCTGCTGTGTTCTGTGGTGGATACAGGTACGGGTGCGTTTCTGTGCACTTTTCCTTTGACCTTACCTGGTGGAGATTGTTTCTGTCCTGTCACTTATTTCATTCTCAGCCAGCAGAGGGACTTGTAGACTGTTGTTTTAGCAAACTTTACTAACCCCTTCTCAATTGGAATTACATTGTTCCACAATAATTAAATCCTTCACATTTTGGGGGGAACATCTGCTGGTGGTTAATGCTTCCTTAGGAGGTCTTCATGCTGTGTGTCCAAGCAGGTCAGCACCTGAGATTAAAGCCCTGGTTCTTCTCCCTCAGCTCTGCAGATGTCCTGCCGCTGTCTCTCAGAACCACTGCTGTCGCTTAGACACCAGCTCACAGCTCGCAGCTCCTGCTTCAGGGCCTTGCTTGTCCATTGGAGTTTCTGTGTGTGGCTCCTAGCCTGTGATTTGCATTCTTTCATGGATTTGGGAAATTCCCAGCTATCACTTTCCCAATATGCTTTTTTTCCTCTTTTTTTCATGTCCTTTTGGAGCTCTGGGCTGTGCATGTTAGCTGTTTCCACTGTGGCTCATCTTTAATTCTTATTTGTTTGCTTGTTTCTTTGAGACAGGGTTTCTCTGTGTAGCCTTGACTGTCTTGGACTCGCTTTGTAGGCCAGGCTGGCCTCTGCCTCCCCAAGTGCTGGGATCACAGGGTGTGCGCCACCGTGCCCAGCCTACATTTACATTTAAATGTGGCCATTGTTTTATTTTTGTAATCACAGTGGTTATTTTTCACCCTTCTTTTTTCTTACAATTTTCTAGCATAATTTTGCCTATTTTGGTTCCCTGGTCATGTTGTTGAGTTTTGTTTATGCCTTAGTCACATTTAGCAGTGACTGCCTATGCAGTGCATTTAGTGTCTTCCTTCTCTTTTGCTGTGTGTTGAGGTCTTGCTGATGTCACCAATTTCCTGTGTGGGTTTTATTTGTGCTAGGTTTTAAAGCATCATTCAGAAATTCTTTTCAGTTACATTCTACAGAAAGGAGTTGTGTATTTTCCTGAGCCAGTGCTGAGCACACAGGCTTTCTTCTCAACCTTCTCGCTTCTCACTGGGCACTGAGAGGGAGGAGTCTTCTTTCTCTCTAAGAGCTTTCCACAGCCTACGTCAGTCACCCCCGCCCACTGTACCGAGTCGCATGGACTGAGGGCTTGCCCCTCCTCTGTGCTCTCATTCCGCTTAGAGCTGTCCGGTATTCCTTGTGGAGGTTTTGTCAGCCTATCTCTGACATTGCGTGGTGGTGTTTCCATCAGGAGGGTGTTCATCCTGTGACACAGCTGGCCAGATTGTTACTCGGGAGCAGAGTTGATAGCGCTAGCTGCTTTTTCTCAGGAGGCGGGGGTTGCCCTATTTTCCGCCTACAGCGGCTCCAGCGTGTCCTGTGTCAGCCACGCACTCAGATTGCTTGTGGCAGTGCGCACCAGCGGGCCTCGCCGACAGTCTAATCAGTGTCGACTCTTCCTTCACAGCCTCATCACACGGATGCTGCAGAGAGACCCCAAAAGGAGGGCGTCTCTGGAAGAGATTGAAAGCCACCCTTGGCTCCAGGGAGTGGACCCGTCTCCAGCTACGAAGTACAACATCCCCCTCGTGTCCTACAAGAACCTCTCTGAGGAGGAGCACAACAGCATCATCCAGCGCATGGTGCTCGGGGACATCGCGGACCGGGACGCCATTGTAGAGTACGTGTGCTTGTCAGTCCTAGGGGTGTGCCTGGCAGTCTCGGTCCCATGTCCTTGAGACAGACGGGCCATGCTGCTTGCTCTCCCCTTACCGTGACTGCCTGCCTGACAAGTAGCCTTTGAAGGGAGGAAGAGATTAATGCAGCCTGTAGTTGAAGGGCACAGTCCATCTTGGTCACGGAGCAGCAGGCCGGCTCGCCACACTCTGAAGTCTGCCCCCAGTGGCTCACTGCTTCAGCCGTTCTCACCTTCTAAAGGTGCCACAGCTGGGGACCTAGTGCCCATGCACAAGTCTCTGCGGTGCCTCACTCCTAAAGCAAGATGGAATTCCCAGGGGCAACCCTGAACTGAACTTTGCGTGTCCTCTTGTTCTGTGGGCGGTAAGCCAGGTGGTGGCAGTCCTTTCCATGCCTGGACTAGGATGGTTAGTCTCAGTGTACATGGTGTCTGTAGAAAGGTCCCCATCATTCCTGGGTCCCCCTGCAAGTGCTGAGATCAGACAGAGCAGGTGACAGGCTGGGCGTGCGTGTGACTCCAGTGAGGCCCTATGGGCTGCTCTGGGCTGCCTCCGGCTGTGGTGCACTTAGGGTTTGCTGTGAACTCCATGAGGCCGCCTACACCTTCCTGGGAGCACTCTTAGCTGCTGTGAAATCCACCCGGAGAGCCATGTTTAGCAGCCTGAGTAGTGCAGTTGAGGAGCATGCAGGATGCTGGGAGCACTGCTCTGCTCTGCTCTGTTCTGGGGAGAGGTCCACCTGAAATCACGGGCACTCCACAGAAGGGCAGCCGTACCAGGTGTGTGGACTGAGATAGCTGCCCCACTCAGGGATGCAAGAGCTAACCGTGCAGTGGCCGCTTGGGTCTGCATGTCGACCCTGTGTGTCGGCTGTTGTCACGTGTGCCCAGTGGGAGCTCTGGCCTCTGGGAAGGGAAGTTACAGTACGGTAAGAATAAAGATCTAGAGCCGGGTACGCCTGTGATCCCAGCACTCAGGAGCAGAGGCAGGCGGATCTCTGAGTCCAAGGCCAGCCTGGTCTACAAAGCTAGTCCATGACAGCCAAGGCGACACAGAGAAACCGTGTCTCAAAACACAAAAGATCTACAAAAATAAAGCCAGCTTTATGAGACTCATAAAGCTTATGAGTGTCATGGCTTGGTGCCCAGCGACTTCAGTGACCTGAGAGACTGGGACACTTGCTCTTTCTGCACAGGAGCTCACTCTCAGGATGTGTAGAAAGCTTTTTTTTTCTTTTTTTCCATTTTTGGAGTTCTTACCTATGTAGCTGTGTGTACAGTGGTGTGTGAGACCTGCACACTCTGTTACAGGCACATAGGCGACAGCAGCGTGCCAAGCCCGTGGCTGCCAGCCAGCCTTACTGCGCACTCACTGCTCTCCGTGAAGCTGCTTATTCTGAGAGCAGTTCCTGAGTGTGAGGGAGGTCCCCTGCACACAGACAGCTGCTTTCTCCAGCGCACACCTGTGAGAAGGCACTCGAGTTTCCCCAGGCCCCTGCCTCACCCACTGGGCCCTGCATGTTTCACAGGGCGGTCTCAGACCTATGCTTCTCTTGCATGCTACAATTTGCCATGCCAGAGGCTTCTAGGAGCAGAGCTGCATGTTCCTAAGCCCTGTGAGGCTGCTCTGTGACAGCAGCTGTAGGAGGCGAGGCCGTGTGCTTTGCTGTTAGTACCCAGCAGCTAGCCACCCTGGTGCCTGGCCTGGCATGGCATCCTGTGGGCGCTGCTGCTTACTTACATGGATGAACAAGCAGTGACTTTACCCCAGGAGAGAATGAGTAGCGCCTTCGGCTGCCTAATTGCTCTCTGGCCCTAAACTGCCAGTACAGGGAAAGCAAAAACACCTCCACCCATTTCAACAGCGGCTACTCAGAGCGTCTGTAGGAAGCATGGGCCTGAGTCCATTTTTCTCATGGAAGCAAATGATCCATCTCAGTAAAACTCCGCCGCCTATGCCGGCCATTTCCAGAAGACACACATGCTCTCAGAAGCCCCGGAGCCTTTTCTTAGTTTGGAGTGCTGACACCGTCCAGCCACAGCAGCGCTTTGCTCCTTTCTCACCGAGCTGAGCATTGGTACTCAGTGGCTCTTTTAGATTCAGTCACAGCATAAATAACTCCAGGGTTTTATAGTTTTGTCTCATTTAAAAAGCGTCCCAGATACTGATTTCATTAGGTCATACTTCCTCTGATCGCCCTCGCATGGCCTCTGGTCACCCTTGCCTTGTTTCCTCAGGGCCCTGGAGACCGACAGGTACAACCACATCACCGCCACCTACTTCTTACTCGCCGAGAGGATCCTGAGAGAAAAGCAAGAGAAGGAAATACAGACCAGGTCTGCCAGCCCCAGCAACATCAAGGCCCAGTTCAGGTGAGAAAACGCCTTCACTGTTGCCAGCAAGTTAGCATTTTAAAGCAGGGAACGGTCTGCGGTAGGAGAGTCCTTGCCTTCCACAGAGGCCATGCTGGCTCACACCGTGCTCCTCTGATGTGTGCTGGCAGCAGGCGCTTCCCAGTACCTGGGCCCTGCAAGTCATGTCCTTTAAGATCTCCTTCCAAGAGCAGGCTGTTTCCTTTACTAACTTGGAAGAAGTTTGAAATAGGAGCATTTAGCATTTCGGAGGTCGGGCAGCTAGGTCAGGTAGCTGACTGATTAGCTGTTGGGCCTCAGGAACATGCCTCATCTTTAATTTGGCTGAGCACCACTGCTGACCTCCTGAGATTCTGAGGAGGCCTCAATGGGAGACCAGGAGGGGTCCTGTGGGAGCCTCTGACCAGAGCCTTCCCGAAGTTACCGCCAGGCTCGTGTGGTAGAGTGAAGCCTGCCTGGAGGTGAGTTGTCAATCAGTGTCCTTCCGGCCTGTGTGCCCAGGCTCACGGGGGTACTTAGAACACCCGCTTCGCTGACTGCAGAGATGACCTGCAGCCTCCCAGGGCTGACATGACAGCATGGCTTTCTAGTTGCTTTTGCAGTTCTCTTTTGTTAAGACATGATCTTGGCCCTGGTGGGCTCCACCAGTTGTCACCATTCTGGACAGGTGAGTCACAAGTCATGTGAGCTGCCAGACTAATTTTTCACACAATGACAGCCAGTGGGGAGGGGCCTTGCTCACCAGGTTTGCCAAACCTCTCCCTGGTGTAGCTCCTTGGCAGGTTCTGCTTTCAGCTGGTGGAAAGGGGAAAGGAGAGGGCCTGCATCCTGGCACGCTGCTCCTGCTTCTCCGTGGCATGACTGCAGCCCCCCGTGCCCCCATTCCTGCTCCAGGCCTGGCTCGTGCTGACTGGCTGCTCACTTCTTGGCCCTGTGAGTCCTGCTGAGCCTACCCGCAGCAGCAGCAGAGCAGGCAGTTCTTGGCCCCATAGCTGCCAAGGGCTGGGGAGGATCCCTGAGGCCGGTCCTCAGCTGTCAGGCTCAGTCAGCAGTTCTGGAGTCAGGGCCTCTCACCAGCAGAGCAGTCACAGAGCCTGGCTCCAGTGCTGAGCTCATGCTTTCCCACAGGGCGGCTGTGCACACTGCTGTGCCTGTGAGTGCTGGTGACAGCCAGAGAGTGCGCGCGTGTGTGGGTACACATGTAGATGCTGTGTGTGCATGTGAGTGTGGTGGTGAGGATTGGTGAGAGCTTGTGCCGCCCCCGCATTTGTCCGCCCAGTTCTTCCTGACAACTGTTGGATGAGGTTTCCATGTGGCCGTGTCCACAGGCCACATCTGCCCACTGGGATCCCTACTGACGGCCTGCAGTGCTTTCCCGGTGGCCTAGCTCTGTGTGCCATGCTCGCTTGGGGGAGTCACGCCCTGTTGAGGTTTCGGGCCTCCCATGCCGCCTTGTTTGAAACGGGGTTTCTCTGCCGTCTGTGCAGGGGTGGCTGGCCGGAGGCTCCCGGGATCACACCTGCGCTCCTGCCACGGCGACCTGCACGGGTTCTGGCCCATACTTGACCTTTCTGTTCTGTCGCGCAGGCAGTCGTGGCCAACCAAAATCGATGTGCCCCAGGACCTTGAGGATGACCTCACCGCCACGCCGCTGTCGCACGCCGCCGTGCCGCAGCCTCCCGCGCGAGCGGACGGCGTCCTCAACGGCCACCGCGGCAAGGGCCTGTGTGACCCGGGCCGGAAGGACGAGCTGGCCGAGCCTCCCGGGCCCGCGCTGTCCGCCGGGCCCCCCGCCGGCCTGCAGCCCGCCGGCGGCCGCAAGTGCCTGTTCCGCGTGGAGGAGGACGAGGAGGAGGACGAGGAGGAGCGCAGGCCCGCGGCCGTGTCCGCGCAGGTGGTGCTGCGCCGGAAGCCGTCCGTCACCAACCGCCTGACGTCGCGCAAGAGCGCCCCGGTGCTCAACCAGATCTTCGAGGAGGGCGAGTCGGAGGACGAGTTCGACATGGACGAGAACCTGCCGCCCAAGCTGAGCCGCCTCAAGATGAACATGGCGTCGCCGGGCACGGTGCACAAGCGCTACCACCGCAGGAAAAGCCAGGGCCGCGGCTCCAGCTGCAGCAGCTCCGAGACCAGCGACGACGACTCCGAGAGCCGCCGGCGGCTGGACAAGGACGGCGGCTTCGCGCCCCCATGGCACCGGCGCGACAGCAGCGAGGGCCCGCCCGGCGGCGAGGGCGACGGCGGCGGCCAGGGCAAGCCGAGCGGCGGCGGCGGCGCG